GACAAGCAGCAGATCCCAGAGCTGCTGGATCAAGTGGACCAGATGTCAGATGAAGGATCCAGATGTTTCACTGAGGACATGTTCATTACAGACCAGAGAGATCAGGGTCAGAGCAGAGAGCCTCTCAGGATGGTTCTGATCGGGAAGACTGGCAACGGGAAGAGTGCTTCTGGAAACACCATCCTGAGACAAGATATTTTTGAATCAAGAGCTGCTCAGAAATCAGTGACAAAAGCTTGCCAGAGAGAAACAAGAGAGATCGATGGTCGACCTGTTGTTGTCGTCGACACTCCAGGTTTGTTCGACTCGTCTCTGTCCCATGATGAAATTAAAAATGAGCTTCTGAAAGGCGTCACCTTGTTGTCTCCTGGACCTCATGTGATCTTACTGGTGCTGCAGATCGGAAGATTTACAGAGGAGGAAGAAGAGACAGTTCATCTGATCAGGGAGATTTTTGGTGAAAATTCAGCAGATTACATCATTGTTCTGTTCACCAGAGGAGATGATCTCAGTGAGCAGACAGCTGAAAGTTACATAGCAGAGTGTGATGACTACACCAGAAACCTGATTGCTGAGTGTGGAGGCAGATATCACGTCTTCAATAATAGAGATCAGACAAACCACAGACAAGTCAGAGAGCTGATGGAGAAGATTGACAACATGGTGAGACAAAATGGTGGCGGCTGCTACACAATAGGGACAAGTGTTGAAAAACGTGTTAACAAGATGATGAAAGAGATGGAAGAGAGGGAGAAACAGCTTGAAAGAAAACATGAGGAAGAAATGAGAGAGATGAAACAAAAAATAGATGCACAAACCGCTGAAATGGAGAAGGAAAAAGCCAAAAGTGAAGAAGAAAGAGAGAGGAACAGAAAGCAGCAACAGAGCAGCAGTGATGAAATGACAAAAGAAATGAAGAACTTGATGAAAAAGCAGAAAAAAGAAAAGGATAAGTTGAAGAGGAAACAGTGTAGCATCATGTGAGGATTCTGACCATTCTGTCAGTTTATGACTCAGTTCATTTTTATTTTATTGCTGAGACCTTTGATATCAGTGCATGTTATTTTAATTGTAGTGTTATCTACTGCTGCACACACACAATATGTCAGAAGTGTTGCATTGTCCTGTTGGTCTGACCAATCAGAGGCCGCCCTGCAGGACGCCTTGGAGACAGCGGACTGGGACATGTTCCAACACAGCTCTGGTGATGACGTCAGTTTGTTTACGGAGGCGGTTGTGGGATTTATTGGGAAACTAGTGGAGGACACTATCCCCAAAAGAACCATCAGGGAGCTCCCCAATCAGAAGCCGTGGATGAACAAAGGCATCTGCGACGCTCTGAAGTCCCATACCGCCGCCTACAACACAGGACTGGCTACCGGAGACATGGGACTGTACCGGGCCGCTACGTACAGCGAGTTAGGGGGAGAAGCTGGAGTCACAGCTGCAGCAGAGGGGCATCAGGGGACTGTGGCAGGGACTACGAACAGTAACGGACTGCAAAGCAACACCGATGCCCATGGTGAGTGCTGACATCTCTCTGGCCGACAAACTTTTACAACGTCCTGCCCGGCAGAGAGGAGGAGACGCGCACCGTGACTGAGCAGGACGTGAGGCGGATGTTTCATCGCGTGAATACCAGGAAAGCTGCAGGACCTGACGGTATAACAGGCC